ACTGCGCGGTGACATAGGTGCTTGTGAACGACCTAATACAATGACGCATGATACTTAGTAAAGTGGAAATGGAGAGAAGTATTAAGTAGGTATTTACCGTCTCTTTGGGAGGCGTTGGCGCGAGAACCTCCTGCGCGTTCGCTCGTTACCGACTCGCCCTTCACCTCTGCAATACTCTTGAGAGACTTTGAGGGCTTATGTGAGGCTGGCTTAGAGGTTGAGCGTTTCACATAATAGTTAGACGCAGATTCAGAAGGAGAGATGGATGGAGTTTTAGTGCTTCTAGGGGGCGGAGACATAGCACGTTCTGTTGGAGACTTCAAACCCTCTGCAATGGTCGAGTCGGGGAGAGGGGGGTAAGCAGTACGACTCGACTTTTGGGTGACCTTAGACTTATGTGCTTGAGAGGCAGACGACCGTGGCGACAAGGGTCGTTCAGAGGGGGGAGTGCCGCCGTTTGCAGTCCGGGTTGGAGACATGGCGCGAGACGGCGCCTTGGGAGACATGGGCTGGGGAAGGAACCGTGAGTCGAAAATAAATTCCAGAGTCTGGACCTGAACCTACACCGTTTGAAAGAGCGTCGGCAGCAGATGGAGCCTTGCGCGAAGAAGCACCAGTACGACGGCTCTTACCTCCAGGGCTGAGCGGAGGTTCACCGCTCATCATGGATTGAGGAAGTGGGATACCTGCAGCAGTGGCAGGCGTCATACCAAAATGCTAGAATGGAATTTAGCCTGTTACAAGGGATGGAAGTAGTGTCGCACACACCTGGAATGGATTCGCATTACTTCCATTAGTGGAACCAATTTGAGTCTCTGGTAACGGCACACCTGCCGCCTTGGCCGGTGTGTTCTGCCAGTTCTATCCAATAATGTCAGTCTGGGTTGAAGTGTAGCACGGAAGTCACGAACTTGTCCATTCCAACTATTATTACCATTGGGTAATGGGCCGAAATTGCCAAACGACGAGCCATAAGATTCGAAACGAGGCCCAGGAGGATCGTCAGGACCTGGCTCATGATCAGGGTCTTGCTGTTGAATAGAGCAACACATTGAGAGCAACACAGACGAGCCAAAGATAGAAACCTACAACGCCAGTGGTCTGAATTTGGATAGTGCGGGCAATATCAGACCCATTTCCTTCCTGTATATCAGACCTGATATCATGGTCTTCGTCATACCCATTCTCTCCTGCCATGTTCTCAAATCGTCGCGTACTACCCGCAATACTGCGAGTTCGAGGCACGGGAGAGAGAACTTTGGAGGCAGGCGTCGTCGTCGACGTTGTCATCATCGACCGGAGGGGAGTCCTGAATGCCTTGGAGATATAAAAGCACTGTGTTGTCAAGCGGCCATGAGTTAGGGAACGAAGTTGATGATATGAGTCTAATCACCTTTCTCATTTGAAGCTGTCGAAGATTTGAGAAATCAACGTCACGTCCGTGAGGCGCAGGGGCATGACGTACCGGGTGTACTGGACCTGAGCAAGATGGTTCTCATTACATCCTGCGGGGGAGGCGAACCCAATGCAGACATGTTGTAGTCTATTCGGAAGCGGGTTAGGATTGGTGGTATAAGATATGGACGGGAGAAGCAGAAATGGGAATATGATACAAGGGAAAGGGTATGCTAGTGTTGATTTATAGGAATAGTATAGATGAGCAAGAGCGGAGACAGAGAGAGCAAGCAAGCAATGCCGGAGCGATGGCAAGATGAACCAGAACAGCGTTTGCCTCTCTGTTGTTGCCTCGCCAATGCCTCATGTTCGATTTCCTGTTTGGTCTTTGTTTGTACACCTCCCATATGCGTACACTCCCTCTCCCTCTTTGTCCTCTACCTTTCTGTCGTCCCTCGTTGTATCAGGCCATGTCCCTAGCACATGTAGATCGACGTGCCTCTCGTGTATGTGATCGTAAAGCAACTGTGTCCTCGGATATACTACCGTCTCGCAGATCGATCGCCCCGGCCAATTGGTTTTGGATTTTTGCTTCCGTTCAGAGGATACAATGTTTGCATGCAGCATGGCCATCACTGTAATTTCTGCTCCTATTCTCATTGGTGCTGCTAGCGTGCACCATAAGACTCCCATAAGCACAACAAAGGGGCAGCTAGGACCAACTCCTGTCTCAATCATTAGACCTTCGGCTCTGGGCCTATCCTTTCAAATTCGGTTGATGCATGATCTCATCGGTGTTTATACAGCCTGAGAGGCCCTATAGCGTTCCGTGCTCTAGGTAATCGTATTTCTTATCTCTCCAGAATCCAGCATCCATGTATTAGACATCCTTCTAGCAATCACACTATGTACTATATACTGTCGTCACTTATTCCGAAATGAATCACATCGATGCTCATGGGACACGATATGATATTTGTTCTCCATTTAGTTGGTCTCGACATTCATTCTGAAACACCTTCTCTTTCCAACTTTCCCATGTAAAGGCAGCGTCTGTCACTTTCCCATGATGGCGATTCTGTCAGGCTGCAGTCTAATTGCATACAGCTTGGACTAATCCTAGCAGTCAGCTCACTCTCGAGAGTACTTGGCCGGTTCAACAGAAATACCACGGTAATACACTTGAGGGGCGTGTCAAGCTGTATGCACATGGTCGACCCTCACAAACAAACACTGTCTCACATCTATACAATTCACCGACTTGGGACGACAATCCGGCTCCCGATGTATGCCGCGGTAGATGAACTGACTCGCCTTCGAATGATCGTGGCATTGAAATTCGTAATGCACCTCTAGACTCGAGCGCCGCGGCGACCCTATCGGAAACTTACTGTTCGTCGAAATGCACATAAATGCGTGATGAACGCCACGGTCCTCCTTGGTCTGCGGGCTTATGCTTGCCCCGTTTCTCCGTCGTATCATATATCTCTCCCTTTGCCCACACGTCCAGTCACTGCGCTACCCCTCCCGTAACCTGCTCCGAAGTTGCCTGATCACCAAGATGCCGGTCACTCGTTCAGCTAGTACAAGGACCACTCGTGCCTCAACTAGAGCAAAGGCCGTAGAAGAGGCCGTTGCCAGCGATATCGACTCTGGTGTAGAGTCTGAAGTTGCACCGAAGAAAGCCGGCACTAAACGGAAAGCCCGTGCAACTAACGGAAGGAAAGCTCCTGCCAAGAGGGCTAAAGCAGCTCCGAAGCCAGTAGAAGAAACTCCAGAAGACCTGAACGTTGAGCTACCTCCTCCCTCGGTTCCTGCAGATGACCCTTCTCGCAACCTCGTACCAGCAACGTTGACATTCTCATTTGAAGATGCCAAGAAACATCTCATCAGCGTTGATTCACGTTTCGAGATCCTGTTCACTCGTCTGAAATGTCGTCCGTATGAACATTTGCAACAATTCGACCCGTTCAGGTAGCTCGGATATAATAGTTGCATGTGTTTGGAATGCTCAATATCTGTTGTAAATTTCTAGTACATTGGCTACATCTATTCTGTGCGTACATCAAACAGCTTGGCAACAGCCTTCCCTGACACCGAATATTCCCCCAAGAGGTCAACAAATCTCCTGGAAAGCTGCTCGTTCAATTCAACATCGATTTATTCGTCTATTCAACCCGGGCCTGCCGGAAAGTGTCAATGTCCCATATGAGTTAGTCTCCGTGTCCTCATAGCCTCCTTGCACAACACTAAGAAATTCGGAATAATAGTAAAGACGCATATTTCCCTACCGCGACACAAGTTGCGGGGGAGGATCTTGCTGTATTGAAGTCAGCCGGATTGAGTGGAAGGAAAGCAGAATACAGCAAGTTGCATTCCTTACGCATCCATGGTCGATGTTTCTGAATTGCTTAAAATTCGAATAGTACGGGATCTCGCCGAACGCTTCGCCGATGGTAGATTGACCACCGAGAAGCTTTTAAATGCTGATGATGACGAGCTGCACGACTTGCTCACCGAGGTGCGTGGTATTGGAAAGGTAAGTCTTGAAGTTTCCTCCATTAATAAAATCAACACTAATGTTGCTCCATAGTGGACTGGTATGTTCTGTTACCCGCAAAGCCTCTCCACCAGCTAATAGTTTGACACAGTGGACATGTTCGCCATATTCTCTCTTCGTCGACCTGACATACTACCTGTCGGTATGTGACCTTCCACGTATCTTACCTCATCCCCTTTACAGCGTACATCATCACCCTTCTCTAGCCGACCTTGGAGTGCAACGAGGGGTCTGCCACTGGTTCCTCGCCCTACACGATCGAAAATTCAACATCAGCATCTCCCCAGACAAACTTCCTCTATGCCCTGACGACGAAGAGGGCTTGCAAGCTCAAGCTTCTGGGAAAGCAGCTGCAGTACCTGCTGTGCCTATCACCACCAACAACAGTACACCTCCCACAAGTACACCTGCGCCCGAAGATGCGTCGAGCATTCCTCCAGCTGCCCCTGTCCCGAGTACGCCCAAACCTACGGGTACGAACACCTTAGCCCCGCCTGTGACTCCATCTGTCAAGAAAACGCTAAGCAACTCGATTGCTACTCCGAATGGGAAAGTCGAGCCTCTTCCTGAGGGGTTGAAACCAGAGCAGCTCAAAGCACGTTTGAAGGGGCAACAAAAGTGCGTATTGTCTCTTTGACTGGAAGGAAGTATATACTCACACCATGTCTGTCTGTAGGAAAGCACCAATATTGACTCCAAGAGAGATGGAAGCTTTTACGGCCTCATGGAAGCCGTATCGTAGCCTTGGTATGTTAATGTTCAGCTTTCAACCTGTCCTTTAATAACACATTTGGGCAATAGCCGTGTACTACATGTGGGCACTTGCAGCAGAATAGAATACGACTAGACATGGATGTTCAGTCGAATCTGTCATATTCCGGAATCCGTACTCGCACCTTAAATAATACTTATGATGTCCCCATGAAATGAGAACCTCCGAATCTTGATACGAAGAATTTAAGTTATTCAGAAGATCTGCTTGTGTAAGTTGTAAGTTGTAACATGCACACAGTCACGACGATTCAAGAAGAGAAAAGAAAAATATGGGCTCAAGCGGGAATTGAACCCGCGACCTCCTGCATGCTCACTTCGCAAGCGGGGACAACCCGAAGCAGGAATCATACTACTAGACCATTGAGCCGTGCCCCTAATCTTCGAAGGGGGTTTAATAGTTGTCTGACAACGTTATCGTATGAAGTAGCACGGAGATACGCCTATCACGACATATTACGACCCCGCTGGGACTGCTGAGGCAGCGTGTATGTGCTCATACATTGCCATATGTCATATGAGAATATACCCATTTCCAATGGTTTGTTAGGAATGATTAGAGCGGAGCCGCAGCCGCAGCCGTAAACCGTATATGGTACAGCATCGATCGCAGACTGGACTCGGACCTATATAACCATCGACTTGATCCACATTGCTCCTCTAACTACAACCACCATCTTCCAGCAAGCTGAAACGATACACTCAACTATTAAACTCCCTTAAGACCGCTTTACGACCCAAACCCACAGTCATGTCTGGAAGTCAGTGACTATATGCTTAAACTACGTCATAGCAGCGCTAATACTACACCTTGCAGAGTATATCGTTGTCTTCAAGGACAGTGCTTCCCAAGCTCAGATCGATAAGTACGCTCAGGATGTAGAGAGCAACGGTATGTGGACCAAATAATATCTGAGATAAGACTGTGGTACGATCATGTTGTAGGTGGTAATGTCGGACACAAATACGACTCCGCTCTCCGAGTACGTGTATTTCAATTTCATCTACGTCTAAATCTTGACCCTGGTTGGCACCGAATAGGGATTCTCGGCTGCTATACCTGATGCTTTCTTGCAAACGTTGCAAGCGCAGGGCTTGGCCGATGGCATCATTGATTACATTGGTAAATACCACTGTGACTTGATGCTGAACAACTCTGACTGCCTTAACAGAACCCGACGGTACTGTAACCATCCAGTAAATCAATGTAACAGATACCAATTGTATACTTGTATGACCGAATGTCCTTGTAACTTTGGATTGTACTGCAAATGTAATGGATCACATAATTCACGAGCACACCTGGGATCCGACTGAACTACTGAAAATATGAATCCGTTCCTTGGTATCCACAAATGCAAAACAGGTCCATGGTCGTATGTATCCGCAATTAACCGAAAGAGGGTATTGACGTCATGAAAGGTATGCAAATCATAATAGGTCGTAAAATGTTCCAACGAAGAAATAAAGGAAATCGACATTCAAGTCTTGACCAAAGGGTCCACGACACCTTCAGTCCCACCTTCTGTACGCCCCTCCTGTTCCGCTACCTGTAATCCTTTCAAGCGAAGAGTTTCGTTGGCGGGTGGTGTTGGCGGTACAACTTCGACGTCAGGAACAGGCTCGGCACCCGCCATCACAGCGACCGGAGTTGTGTCGATGGGTGGTGCCTTGTTTGGGATGAGTATGGGTCCAGGGTTCGGTGCAGGAGGAGTCAAAGTACCACCATTTGGTGGCGAGGGAATAGAGGGAGTACGCTCGTCATTATCAGGATCTCCTGTTACTGGATCGGACGGTGCAGGTTGGCCAGAGGCGGGTGGTGGTGGTGGGAAGTCCCATGGACGAGGGACGAGAGCGGCCGGCATGATCCTACAAGAGTGATAAGTTCATGATAGTTACAATATGCATTGCAGGACCAACCAAGTAGCAGCGCAAACGACACCCAAACCTTGATCTTGGGCCTGGATCATGCTGTATTCAGAATCGATATACTGCGAGATGTAACGAATGAAAGGTAGAATCTCTCTGATGCCTCCATTGACGAGTGATAGTCCAGTGAGGAAGTTCATGACAGCATGCGAAATAGACGGGACGTTCTACACGAAGCTTTGTAAATACGGTCCTCTCGGCGAGATGAGAAAATTCGACATACGCTTAAAAATTGGATGGACGGCGGTGGAAGGAGCAATTCAAATCCCCACCAGTCTGAGAATGGAGGTCAAATATTAATGATGCATCGACTCAAGGCTCTGAGAATCGCACATACATGTAATGACAGACATGCGATCGGTAGGAGGGTTAATACCTATAAACGTGTAAGCGGAATCATAGACTTGGAGTAGAAATATGGTTATACCTGAGTGATCGGGAAGGATGGCTTTTCCCGTTGCGTATCCAAGTGCCAAGAGTTGAGGCGTAATTTGTTGAACACCTTGCAATACGGTTTCTGCAGTGGGCAATGAACCACTTAACAAGCCATTACCTTCGGCGGGCTGACCTATGCCTAGATCTGGGCTAATAAGGCTGACGATCTCTAATTGAGAGAACATTTCCGTTAATTGAGCTACGGAAGCGTTGGTCACACTGGCAACGGTGGCAAGAGCAGATGTAACACTAGCTGTGCGTTCTATCTGATGAGGGTGTGCATTTCCTTCGCTCGGGGGAGCCGACTCCGCTCTGAGTTTGCAGAAATGCCGTTCATGCGCCTCGGTGTCGGTGTAGGCGAGACATACAGCATGGATAGGTCCACTAGGTGACGCTGCTACCTTGGAGCCATCGGCTCTGAAGGTTGTGACCACTGGCTTGTCGGATGACGGCATAGAGCGTAGATGAGCTATTACCATCTTGGCAGACTTCGGATGGATTAACTCGGACTTGACCTTCTCCAACCTGGCTTTTGGTATTGGCTTCACGTTCTTGGAAGGCGTGATACCAGAAGGACCGATGATAAGAGAGCGCACAACGGAGGCAGACTCATGTGCTCGCTTTTCTGAGCGTGAAAGCTTGCGTGCATACACATCGAGATCGTCGCGAGCACGACGTTTCTTCTCGTGCTCCTCTATCGAAGAAAGAGTGGGCTTGCGAGCTTCACGGTTCGCTTCCGCATTCGTGAAAGGAATCTTGAAAGAGAATCGACGCTTATTGAGTTCGTCCTTTACATCCGTGGGGCGTTTGGGAGACTCGGATACGGGTGTTGCAGAGGGAGGGCTCTGCTGGGGGTCAGGGTTGTTGACGGCCGCAGGAGCATCATCTTTGGCTGTGCTGTCAACCTGTTTCCCATTAGAGACTGGGGTTATCGTCACTTCGACACCCTTGACGACACTTCCCGTGAGAGGAGGGGAGCGTGTCAACTTGGCCGTTGTGGGTTTGGGAGAAGAACGAGTGAGAAAGCCAAGCATGATGACAACGTTATACGTTGGGGGTTGGGGGCGGGCCCGTTATATAGTTTTCGGTGCTAGCGGGAGACCCCTACCTGCGTTCTTTCGTCAAGTGGTGACCCAGAGACATGTCTGAACAGAGTTCCAAACTGCCCATAATTGGCAATGCCTTCTGAACGATCACAGACAGATCTAGATCTCCGGCGACGTCCGTCGCCCTTTCCCACACATCCTGGCGACAATCACAAATTCAATTATCAAGGTAAGCAGCCGCTTGTGCCTCTCCGTTGAAACTTGGATTCCAACCATACAACTCAAGCTTATACTTACTGCCAGTCAACTACGCAGCTGGCATCAGAGTCAATACTCTGCTACAAGACCAAAATATTGTGGCTATACAATCACGACAAACTGTGCTACTAGTAGTAGTGACTTGGTAAGTACTGTACTATACACGCCTACCATCTTCCGAGTACCAGAGAACCCTGAAAGTGAGCCTAGTACTGTACTAGTTTGTAATCAACCTGGTGGGGAATACGATACAGCCCAAATTTTCCGTCTGAATATCACCTTGGACATATGCAATAGGTACAACTTGAAGGCGAGGGTCACTACATTGCCCCAACAAAGAGTATTTGGGTTATTGGCGGAACTAATATGCAATTGTAAAATTTTCTATGTGTAGTGACGATGGCCCGCCCTGAACCATAAGTAACATATTCTTATAGCAATGACAGAATGGACGCACGCCTGTGGGTGAGGACAATGAATGAAAAGACGGATATGGAAATAATAGGAGAGTGGCGGTACGTGTGTGTTAGCGAGATATTGACGTCACGGCGGGCTAACATCACGAAAAATTAGGATCCAACCCATTTTGTCGAGAAGATGTTCTTCCCTTCGTGATAGTACCTTCCAGTTGAATAAAGAGGATGACTCTGACACGCTCGATCTCGGGAAACCATAGAATGATTATATTATCAAAGATCGAGTATGGCGCTCCCGGGAGGCAAAGAATGTTAAGTGAGGTCTGGAACACATAATTAACAAAATGTTTGATACAAATTGAATGATTCCTACAAATAATAATAGTCCCAGCCACAGAAAGGTGTCCGAAAGAATAGAGAGCACGAATGGCAAATACATGAGCTACCGACCATGTTATCGATCTGCCCTGTCATACAGCGGTTCATACTGTGGCGGTTGGTCATCATAATTTTGAACCGAGTCCCGCGGTCTGCTGGTGCTAGCTATAGGCTGTGACGTAGTATTAGAGATGATATTTTCCCTAGCGCTCGGGTCACTCGAGGTCGCGTAAGTGATAACAACATGTCCACCTTTCTCAAGAGGGAAGGGGGTGACATTAGGTATGGCAGGGAAGTGTGCGGGAGTAGCGGTAGAGAATGTAAGTTGTTCGCCATAATTTGCCGTCTCCAGAGAGTCCAGAATATCAACGTCCTTGGTATTCTTTCGTTTCGATCGTCTCCGGCTGAGGAGCAGCGGAATCGCTATCAATAAAGCAATTATTATAACTCCACCAGCTGCTACCCCTGCAATTGTCCCGGATGATAAATGCTGCTTCGTATGAGCCGCTTGTGGAAGCGGTGAGCCGTTAGATGTCTGCTGCGGAGCTGTCGAGCTGGACGACGATACGGAGCTAAAACAACCACTTATTACATTGTTACACAAAGTGGGTGAGAACGTACTCTTGGGTCTGATTAGTGGTAGCCATTCCCACAGCAGTATTGAGAACAAACAGAGCCTGTAGCTGTCCCCAAGGTAAGCTTCCCTGATGAACAAGGGCGGGAGGATGCCAAAAAGGAGAATAGTTAGTCCCGTCTGGTAATCGAGCGAAGTCAACCACTGCATTAAACTAGATGATATAAGTGGATGATAGTCATGGGGTGTGTAACGATACTCACTTGGACTGTCATAAAACTACTTATAAGCCGTGAAAGATCCGAGTCGACCGGGAAACTTGACCATGCCTCAA